AAGTCACAATCATACGAAGCTACACTACGCACCTATATTCAATGCAGACGAAGAGAAGAAGGAGGAATCCTACAGACAACTGCAATCAGTACTGGACAAGACCCCACTCCAGTTGGCGACATCAAAATTCTGAAGGGTGGGGTGGCGTGAATGCCAAACTGGAAGCAGACAACATGGGGAGGAAAATCACCTATCATGGATCGAGAAGCACTCAGTGAAATGAACGAGAATGGAGAACTGTTTGCAGACTTCTGTGCATTCAACGATTCGGTGATTAGAGGCACGGCGTACTAACACAAGAATATTCACAAAGGGACATGATTTTGTTTCCACCAGATGGACACACTAAAAATCAGATCGACTTTATCTCAATCTCAAGGAAGTAGAGATGCAGTCTACTGGACACAAGATCAATAAGGGGAGCAGATGTAGTTCCGGACCGCGCACTATCTAGTGCAACGAATCCACCTTCAAAATCAATTTGAAAGCCTTTAGAGAAGTTGGTGATGATAGACCACAGTTAAAGTTCAATACCCGGAACAGAAATTGAAGGATGAAACTACAAAAGACATCTTCACATCAGGCATCAGGAAAAATGGAAGACATTTATTAGCATCCCCTAGGAAAACTGCGTAGAAGAACACTGGAACTATTTGACAGAGGTGTGGAAGGAAAGCTGCATAACCGTGTTAGGAAGGAAAAGGAAACAAGACAGGGAATGGATCTCCGCGGATAGAGTAGGGAGAGGAGGTTGGTGAAACAACAGATGAACCAGTGCAGTGTAGTGCATGGATGAACAACGGAAAGAGAAACTGAGTACAACCTATAAAACACTACACAGGACAAAGAAGTGAAGAGGAGTGCGCGCAAAGACAAAAGACACTTCCACGACACACTGGCAAGTGAAGCAGAACAGGATGCAGGTAGGAGAGACAGAGACCTGAGAACATTATATCAAATAACCAGGTTACTACCTGGGAGGGAAGAGATCAACACAGATGAAACCAATGAAGGTTAGTGAAGGAAACTTCGTTAACAATGAGGAGAAACAAAGAAAATAATGTGCTGACCACTTCAAAAAACTCTTGAACCGACCACCACCACCACTGCAACTCATCCAGAAATACCACCTGCAGTCATAGAACTATCAATGAACACAAACCATCCAACAAAAGTCGAAGTCCTGAGCTCCGTGTAGCTACTGAGGTGTGGGAAAGCAGCAGGACCAGATGGAATCCCGCCAGAAGCACTAAGAACAGACGCAGAGACAACAGCGGACATGTCCACACCACTGTTGCAGAAGGTCTGGAAGGAAGGGAAGGTAACTGCAGACTAGAAGAAGGGTTACCTTAGTCTTTGCAAGAACTGGCGCGGAATCATGCCCCACTCCTGTCCACCCCAAGCAAAATATTAGGCTGCATCATCCTGGAGAGAATAAAAGATGCACTGGATTCGAAACTACGACCGGAACAGGCAGGCTTCAAGAAGTACAAATCATGTGCGGACCAAATTGCAACGCCACACTGCGCATCATCATAGAACAGAGTATAGAATGGCAGTTAACCCAACTCTACCTCAACTTCATTGACTTTGAGAAGGCCTTCGACAGCGTCGACCGGGAAGTAATTTGGAAGCTGCTTCAATACTACGAAGTACCACAAACCTTTATCAGCCTCATTCAACAACAGGTATATGAAGACGCCACATGCCAAGTGATCCACAATGGGAAGCTCAGTGATGCTTTTGAAGTGAAGACAGGAAGGGGTAAGACAAGGCTGTCTACTATCACCTATAATATTCCTGATTGTGGTCTAGTGGACTGGATCATGCAACAAACCGTAAGGAGTGAGAAGAGTGGCATATGCTGGCCGGACCGGGGAAAAGACCCTAGAGGACCTGGATTTCGCCGATGACTTATGTATAATGTCACACAAACTTGAAGATCTACAAGCAAAAACTAACAAGCTGACAGAAGAGGCAGAGAAGACGGGACTTCAAGTGAATATAGAGAAGACAGAGGTGATGAAGATACCCAACCAACAACGACAACAACAAACTCCAGTCACCATCAACAGGAGAAACTTAAAGGAAGTAGCCTCCTTCACCTATCTAGGCAGCATCGTTTCAACTACAGGGGGCACAGATGAGGACTTCAAAGCCAGGATCGGAAAAGCAAGACAAGCGTTCATTAGCCTGAAACCAATGTGGAGATCTGCACTCCACTCAGCATAAGGCGTGAAAAAGATGCGGATTTTCAACACCAATGTCAAGTCAGTGCTTCTGTGTGGTTCAGAGACTTGGCGGGTTGCTAAAGGGATTTCCACTAAACTACAGACATTCATCAGCAGCTGCCTACTCTGGCTTGTTACTGAAGATCAAATGGCCGGAATAATAAGAATAAGCAATAATGAACTCTGGGAACGAAGCAAGAAGCTGTCGCTCAACAAATATGCACTGGAAGTGGAGATGGATTGGGCATACTTTGAGAAGGCCGACTGGGGACATCACGTGCCAGGCCAGGTCGTCGAGCGGAACCCGATGGGAAGTGACGAGTTGGGCGTCGGTGCCGAGGGTGACATGGAGAAGATAGTGTGAGGAAGAAATGAGAGCTTCTAGGTCGTCATGGAACCAGGTTTAAAAGTCTGCAGAGAAGAGAGTACACTGCAGACGTGCTACTGAAGCCCTATGTTCCATTAGGAATCCAAGGGACAAATGATAAGAATAATAATAATATGCTTTTTCACTACACAAATTCCCGAAGATATACTCATATTAAAATTTGCCTAAGGTAAATTCGAAGCTTTTAGCAGTAGATTAGAGGATAGCATCAGGCCTAGTGTCTGAAGTTAGATATTTTGAGTTAACCAAATATGCATAAATGATTTGTGACTGAATTCACCTGAGAACTAAAGACTTGAGTGCAAAACTTCAGAGAAGCTGTGGACAAATATTTTGAGTCTTTTGGAGATATTTTCAAAACCTTTTACAAATTTTCAGTCAGTAGAGCATACTTTTAGTAACCTGAGAGAAGAAACTAGTCAAAATAACTTTAGATTACCCATCAAATCATCTATCCTAGGTTGTCGGTAAACAAAATCGTGCAACGCTTCTTAAAGGTCTAGTACATGTCTACCTACTTTAACGCATTTTATGGCCATTTTCAATTTAAATGTAAGAATATTTTACGATAACTTTAGAAATCAATTTATTTGGCAAACAAGAACTTTTCCAGAAACTTTTGGGTTATATTTGAGGAACTCACTATGAATATCGGAGGAAGGGACTTATTCTTCACATTTCACTTATATGATAATATGTGTGACTAGCGTTTCAACAAACCTGAGTATACGCCCGACAGTTCATACACAAAATTGTGTAGGCTGTCTTTGTATCATTCCCGTGGCCTTTACCACTAATATGTTTTGCAATGGACGATGACGGTTGTCTTCTATCTGCTCCAATAGATGTTTGTGAATCTAGCTGCTTTTGTAACCATTTTGATACACGTTCCCCTACCTTCAAGTGCATATCTCGGCTAGTTTTTCCTATGCAGATGTCCACACGCATATCTAAACTGATAAAAGCAGTGGGATGTGACACTGTGACAATGTTTAGGTCTGTGTTGCGACATGTGTTCGGTCCTCTCAACTACGAAAAGACTAGTTGCATAGAATGTTTGGCTAATGGCAGACGTTAGCAGACCTAGATATTAATATAAATGACAACTAGCCTCTCATTAAAGCCTATCCCTTTAACGTGTTTGAAAAAGCTGCCATTATTGTGAACTAATAAAGTAAATTTCACATATGGAGGGGAACATTTTCAACAGATAGATGGCGTAGCAGTGGGAAGTCCCCAAAGACCATTACTAACTGATGTTAACATGTCATATAGTGAAGGCTTGGTTGGTGACCTCGTCAGTGAAGTTACTCCTATAGGAGATATGTTGATGATCTGATTGTGATATATCACAAGAATGGAGATGCGACATGTTTGCTAGAAAGATTTAACACCATACAAAACTATACGCTTAACGTATGAATAAGAGGAAGAGAACCTATCTACAGTTCTCAGATACGATCCTGAGTCGTAGGAAAGACGATCGACAATCAGAAAGCCTACTTAGACAGGCCAATATTTGGGTTTCCATAGATTTCATCCAACTCGATGAAACCAAGGCTTGGTAATGAGCATTTTCAATAGGATCCAGCTTATCCGTACGGAAGGTACAATGGATGATGACATTAAAATACCAAATGAACACTAGAGAAAAATGGATATCCATTGAAGTTCATAAGCCGTTGCAAAAATCAGCCTGAGTTGACACCCAGTCTACACTGTTCCGAAGGAATACGTTTATATCGCCCTGCCATACAGAAGGGAATCTTAGAGTAATTCTAGAACAAAGAATAAGGTCTGTCATTAGCCAAACATACTATGCAACTAGTCTTTTCGTAGTTGAGAGGAAATATGTTTTAACACAGACTTAAACACTGTATATACGATTGTCACATCCCACTGAACAGAATCCTTCAATTAGTGGGCTTTATATGCAAACTCAATAATGAAATCATTATTTTCGTCACAAAAGAAGTATCAAGAAAAGCAGTGTAGTATAACATAGAGAAGAGACAGAAAGAGACGAGGACTAAGATTATAACCAAAGTTCTTTCTGCCACCGGTCAAAATGAGCTAGAATAGCTTACGACTATTGCCAGAAACAGCAGCTGTTTTCATCTCAGTCACATGTTTTGACTATAAAGCCTTCCAGTGGAGCTGGAGCTTTCCCACTTGGTTCTTTACTATTCGTAGCATGGTTTTTATTACTTCGATTTTCCTGTGCATATTTCCGCTTGCTTTGCAGATATTAAATTGTTATGATTTGGAAGCTGCTATGTGCCATAGCCGCTAACGATGCACGGATATCGAGAGTCAGCCATTAACGTTCAAAAAAATCCTACTTGATTCCCGACCCGACTGATTAATGAAGAAGACACGATGGATGTGTAGTAACGTGTATTAGGGTAGAAAAGACCGAAGACCCAAAAAGAGGAAAAATACAGTTAATATATAGGTAGTTCGCTGTTCAAAATAATACTATTGACTGGCTGATCCACCGTGTCTGTCTAACTATAGACGTGACAATATAAATTGCATTTTGATTGGCCGCTCTCCAGACTAGGGTTTTTTCTCGATCCCCATTTCAGAAACATGACAAGTAGAAACACAAATTTACCAAATTCTACGCTGATTATATTTGCTTGTTGATTGAAGAGCATCTACTCCATTTTTCATAACGCGAAAATTGACACAACTCTTATCCTGAAGTCTAGAGTAGCAGTTTGACTTCAAAACTGAAACTTCAAAAAACAAATTAAACTCCCAAATATGAGTTTAAGATTGTGGATAGCACCTACTATGTGATGAGAAGGAATTACGTCTTCTAAATGACCGAAAGATAGGAGATGGGAATTAGAGCATATGGATCAATAAGTGACAGTATGGTTGAATACGCCACTTTCCTATACATAGTAAAGAACATTTATCAGACTTTTGATTTTGGTAGAAGGATACAGAAGTTATGGAACACTCAGTCAATCAATTCAAAAAGTCAACATCAGAAAACAAATATTGCACAATCTGTAAGCTATTTCATGCGTAGAATCCCCATATAATCCAACTCAAAGTTTTCAACCGACAGGATTAACGCCAGTTTTTGTATGAATCTGACCAACTGAACATGTTTTCTCGCTGCCCTTAATAAGTTGTAACAATGCAAAACAGGATTATGTCAAAATTGAACACAAAACACAATAGTAAGAGGTTTTTCATAAAAATCTACTATATTTATGATGAAAGACTGAAAATTTAGTGACATTTGACTGTAAAAACCTTTACATATATATATATATATATATATATATATATATATATATATATATATATATATATATATATATATAGCTTCGGAAGAATGAATGCGGATACCAGGCACTGATAAGCTGATACATTTCGATCAGCTACCACACTCTAAGCAACGCATGCATATCATATGCTCTTAGAGCCTTATGATAAAGTTTCCGACTTAGACACTTTGTTAAGGCGGTTCGAATCCCCTTAGGTTTTCGAATATGCCTCACTGATGGGTAAAAACAAAAAATGAAGTCCAGATCAAAGGCTTTCTGTCAGCTGACTCTCAATATCTGATATAAAATAAAATATAACTCCCCATTACTTCCCCTTTCTTAGTGACACACAGAGACACACAAACAGAGAAAAACAACGTAGAATTTCGTACACAAGTCCATCGGTTCAAGTTGTCACACTCCACAGTAATATACATACAAGTGGACACAAAAAAGAGCGATATCAAAGTAAACAAACTTGTGTAAGAGAATAAACAACCTGAAGCTAAAGGTAAGTGTGGATATTCAAGCTTCAAAAGATGTCAAGGAGTGAATATATCTGCGCCATTGTGACCGATTTTCAGCCATATCACCAAGAGTCATCGACCACTGATTCCTTTTATCTCGGGTGCCCCAACTAGACACCCTACATCTTCCAACACCGCTCAGTCCAACAATAGGAGATTTCATCGACTGGTGCCACATCTTTGTCTGTCTGCCCTAAGCCCTCTTCCCACCGACTCCAACTTCTCAGCCTAACATGGCTTGTCGAGGTAGGCAGTGGCTCACCATGCGCAGTACACGTCCAAGTCGACTAAGGTTCACAACTTCATCAACCGACTTGTTCGTCTTACCTAGTAACCTTCGCCTAACCTCAACATTGCTAACACGGTAATTCCGCCAAACGTGAGCAATGCAACGAATACACCTAAGATCAAAAACCTTCAACCATCTCATTTCTTCGACTTTCAACGGCCAAGTCTCACAACCGTATGGCAGGACAGGACTAACTTCAGAGCAGTACACGGTTTTTTTAACATGCAGTCAGATATCTTGCCAGTCGGTGCCACATATACCACAAGTTGGTAAATACCAAACGGGCTTTCTGTATCCTAGCTGAAATTCGGTCAGCAACCAGCCCGTTTGGGCTGATGGAACTCTCCAAAAAGCGAATTAGTCGATGGATCTCACCACTTCACTCCCGATCATTAAACTTGGAATAGTAGCGAACCAGTTCCGAAGTGTCGTCTTACGTTTGACAGTTGCAAAATGCATGGCGAACATACACTTCTCCTTAACACATTTAGAAGACCCTGCATCTTGTCAGAGTCTTCACGCAGAAGGATAATATTGTCTGCATACTCCAAGTCAACTAGACGACCTACAGGGAGTAGGCCAGTTCCTATGAAGTCAGACGTACCTAAGGTTATGCCTATTAGTACGTCTATGACAAAGTTAAATAGTAACGGTGACGGTGTGCATCTCCGGTGGACACTAGTTTTTGTCAATTCACATGAAACATGGTTGAGTAACTTCGAGTAGAGAACTCTGATTAGCGTTATATAATTGCTTGGTACTCCCATCACAGTCGGATACTGTCACAACACCTCACGTCGACAGAATCAAATGCTTCCTTAAAAGTAAAAAAATTGGCAAGTGTCCGCTGCCAGTAAGGATGCCTGTGGTCCAGAACCTGTTGGATGATAAAAGTATAGTCGATGCACCCTCGTCCAGCTGTCTGAAACCAGTAAAGTGCATACATACACGAGTCCGTACTAGCACGTGATCGGAATTCAAGCTGATACTCCAGAAAGAGTGGGAGTCCTCCACCGATCCTCTTGAACGATGGCTTAAAGCAATATAATCTATCTGTGTCCATCGTCGGCCTAATGTCAGTGGACCCCATGTGACAGTCTCTCTCCATGCCTAAATTTAGTGTTGGGTAGAAGGGAGTGATTGTCGGAACGAAATCTTAACAAATGATCACCGCTGTTGGTTTGTTGCCGTGGGATCTCGTAAATACTCTTAAGATATCTTTCCGACTGGCTCAACTTCCCTACTTAAGCGTTAAAACCACCTCCCACTATGATTACATATGAGCGTCTTGGTTTCTGTAGCAAAATTGACAGCTCATAAAATTCATACTTTACATCATCTGAATTGTAGTCAGTAAGTGAGTGAGCAGGGATTACGAATAGACATCAGTTGGTCACACGATCCTCCTTAGTTCTTATAGATTCATTCTATCGAACAGCATTTAGACACCTGTCGACTGGTATCTAGTCGAAAGCGAACTTTCTGCCCTACATATCAATGCTATGCCTACATTGTAGAGTCCACGACAGCTAGCCACTGGGTCACCGGATGCTCGTAAGGTGAACTTTGAAGATTCATAACTATGGTCAGCTGAGGTCAAGTGATGAATAGCCGTGCTTGGGTCCCGTATGCTTGTCTGAGGGTTACAGCATACATCCATGGCTAAAGATTTCGGTATTTCAGTGAGTGATACTTGCTGTCTGATTTGGCATAGAGTTCGAACATTGAAAGTTCCGTCAAATCGATGGCAAGTTCTTAGGAGACTATGAATGAGGTTTCGATAGCTTTAATTTTTGGCAATGGTTGCAAAGTAAGAGGTTGAGAGAGGTGTAAGAGAAATAATACTGGTATCAGGATGTGAAGGTGAAGGGAAGATGTAGTTGAAGAGGTTAAATGGTACGATTGGGTCTTGTGTACTACTGGAAACATGTAGGCGATTGACACTTTCCCGCTGTTCACACGGTGGAAGTTTACTTCTTAAAACACCCGAAAGGGAAGAAGACTTGCATGACCGTAGAGCTTATGGGACATTTGCTTGAGGTGTATTTTAGAGGTTTGGTTGTTTTAACGCCGGACAGAGAAAGCCCATGCCGCCAGTACTGGAAGACCGTGGGGTAGGAAATAGTGTGCTTTGGGGAGGGGGGGGGGCGACCTTTTCTAACACCTTTTTCCCGTTGGGAAAACAGCACTAGTGTGTTTATACAAGGGAAACACCTTACTGCTGTCACACCCTATCCAGGCAGCAATACGGTTCCATCCTCGGATCCCATCATAGTGTAGCGATTTACACTACAACGGTAACTGCTTTTCTTCTTGCCACTGCCCAAAAGAACTTTCTGGCATGGTAGGATCTCGAGGTAACACGTGTTCCAGTTAGTGTAGCTAGTTGGGTCATTGCTTTGCGCAAGCCCGATCACCACTTCAAGGTAGCAGACGTAAGCCGGGTTTTCTTCGTGAACAAATTGCACATATGACCAATATTGCGATCAATCAGCACAATATTTTCCATTTAGCGACCGATCTGTGTACATATAGACTAATAAAACACTATTATAAAAATTATACCATTCTGACGCAAAGCTTGTCTAACTGAATGCGACAAGGTATGAGAAAATTTTCCTAAGACATACGAATTACATTGCAATAATAAATGTTATGCTTCAATTCTTAGTTCCAAATGAAATATATCAGGACGTTTCATGCAAAGTACAACAGACATCTGATTAACTCTGACAAAGGTATTGCTAAACAAACCACTTATTATAATTATATATTAAATACACCCGTTTAAATTAATCCGAAATAACAGCACGTAATACAGTATTATCCAACTTCACTCTTACATTTGATCATTTCATACCTACAAAATCAGCACCCAACTTAGACGTTTTACAGTGCTGTTTTTATCCCCATACTGCGGGTCATAATAGGAGAGTTAAGTGTTAACAAAAGGTAATTTCGAATTCAGGCTATATATGAAAATAATACAGTATATTACTCAAAAGTCTACAATCTAGTGAACTGGTGTGCTCAGTAGCACTTCGTTTAAAAATTAGTCATATTATTAAAACTGATGTTAACGATAGAAATTATCAACGAAAATGCTTACTCGAGATCATCACATGGTGATCCGTTTGTATTGACAAGCGATGAGTAACTTCCAACGGATTCATGAGCACATATCGAAAGCATAGAGATAACTCATTTCACAGTAACTCTGGGTGAAGTTATAAGCAATACGAGGAAACCTCCACGTATATAGGTTTGTCGATTTGTTTACGCGTTATGCGAACAGTTGGTTTTGTCATGATACTAGGCAAATAATGACCAATACTCATTGATCTTGTTGAGTGACCGAAAAATATCTCCATAACAGGGTGACTGGTACGTTCAAAATCCGCATACACTCCAGCTATCCCAGCAAATTTTCCGAATCCAACGAAAGATATTTTGAGTTTAGAAATCCTTCAATGAGAGATGACTGAACTGCATCTGAAACACAAACTGAGGAACCATTGAATCGTTCAGCAGAACGCTGAGCGAGCTGAGTCCTTACGAGTTGCTCTCCTGTACCTGAAGTGACAACACCGATTCGAGAAAACTGACTCAGTTCTTCGGCCCAGCAACCACAACCATATGTACACGCCTGGCCGACACGCCCTTCATATTTCATTGCAATACCACCACTAGATGCCGCAGAAGCAATGTTCCCTTTCAAATCAATACACACAGCACCTACAGTATCAACGCGAGATTTCTTAGATTCAGAAGAATAATCATAATGAGATGTAATATGAGAGTTGCTCATAACTGCATCCATTTTACCTTCACTGCGTAACCAACTTTTGTATTTTTCCCAAGATAACTGTGAAGCTTTAGTAATAAGGTTACAGTTATCAACAGAATATCCCTTTGAGGCCGCCCACAAATGAACACCATCACCAACAAGGAGAGATGGGGGGACGCGTCCCAGTTCACCTAAAGGATAGTCAATCTGTGACTGCAGAAGAAGTCTTGCAACCTTTATGGGATTTCTAATATTTTGAACAGCACCAATCCCAGCAAACCGGAGGGCAGAGCCAGTCATTATACCTGCATCACATTCAACAAACCCGTTGATTGTTAGATTACTACCGATTCCTGCATTGGTCAATGGACAATCTTCTAGGTAAGCAACAGCTGCCTCCACAGCATCAACAGCACTTTTATGCTCGACTGAAAGCAGTTCAGCAGCAAGCAAACACGCTTCAGAACATAATTTATTGTATTTCTTTTCTTTGGATTTGGAATGGTACCCCGCACCAGCATGTACGACAATGCACGCCATGAAATATTAGTACAAATGTTTCCCCTAATGGAACACCTAAAAGTAAACAATATGAGCGGTAAAAGTAGTGCTATTTAAAGTGATTTAGGTTACATCTGTACTTAAATCTGCACAAACCAATAGGTGTTTAATGTATAGGTAACTAAGACGGGCGCTGTAAAGTAACTTTATCAATAGTTTTCAAAAATGGAATAACGCAAACACATGAACTATTTTAACTTAAATAGTGCGGTGAACACAGAATGCCACGATTTTAGATGCCTAATGTTTGAAATAAACTAATTTAATAGCCTTTATGAATGCGACTTTACGTTAACGTAGACCTTATAAGTACATGAACTAATACAACAAATTCTACTGCATTTAGTAGTGTTCATACTTGTATAGGAATACGGAAGTATACGGAAGAAATGATCGGAAATATGAAGTTGAATTCGGTGAAAAAAGTATCGAATTAGGATTTTTAAAAAGGAGACTAAATTTGCTGCTTTTATAAGGCAAGGTTACAACTACGTCCGTTTTCATTTATTGCAAAATATGAAAAGCAGTGACATGATCAATTTAAGGACATCATGCAAATCGCTGCATAGAAACTACCACTTCTAAACGTCTAAGTTTGATCAAACCCTTGTTAATTTTTTTTTAAACCATTCCAATAATAATCATTTCTTAGTAATGCTAAAATATCTCTTAAGTTTTTGTCACCCCTGTTACTTTTACACCTCAACCAGTTGACTGATTTGATATTCTCCAGCCTAGTTATAAGCTAACTTGAAAAGTTAATGTATTATAGTACTGTTCAACACCTACTTTTTTATGCACTAAGCGATCCAGATAAATCTCATCTAATACCCAGTCTATCTATAATAAAAACCATTTAAAATCATTTACAATTGCTGACAACTAAGATAGATTAGTACAAATAGTTTCCAAATATCATTACAATTCAGTGAGACAGTATAACTATAAACAATCCAATTAGCATTCTATGAGTTAATTCGTAGGACTTCGTTGGCTAAGCATGAATAGATATATGCTTGAAAAAAAGTTTACATGGAAGAAACAGGCAAAGTTCTAAAGCTATTAGTATTCATCAAGATAGGATATCTGCAGTTTCTAGGATACACCTCAAGATCATAATTACTATTTACGGCTAACTTTTAATAGGCAAGTACTGAACTAATATCTGTGAAACTTGTGCACTGTGGTAGAATGTAATTCCATTTTAATTGATTTTTAGATTTACCACACTGTGTGACAGTATTGTTTACTAGATTGTTTCGAATATAATTTATTGTCCATAGTCATATCAAGATAACTACAAAAGTTAAGACTACATAAAGGATGTCTCAAAGTTGTGTTCATATCTTAAGGAAATATAATTTCTTTCACTCTGCAAAATGCTGCTTTTATATGTAGGAAAAAGGTAGGTTGCCTGTTTAGTCGTTAGTACGTTAAGAATGAATGACTAGAACACAGAAGATGTGGTCTGAACCAGTCACAGTTGTGTAAATGCATTTACTTCTCATCGTTAAAATTTTGAATCTCCGATACCTATTTACTGATATGCCGTTCACCTAAGTTCTCCTTATTCAATTCAAAATCATTCCAGTTTCACTGAATGCTTCTTCTTTTGCACTTGTGAAAAGTGCTAGCTTGAATAGATATTTTTTAAGTTTCGATATTTCCCATCTATCCTATAACCGCTAATAACTTTTATGCACACAGCTTAAAGAATAATATGAATTACTTTCAACCAAATTTCCTCAAATACAATAAAGCGCAATTTCGGTCCACTGAGTGTAGCTCCTACACTACTAAAATTAATGGAATACTTTAAGCAGTAGAGAGGAAAAAAGACACCAGCAGAGCATATAGATTCAAAACTTTGCTAATTATTTGAATAGTAGCAAAGATTTTCTCGCACAGTTTGTGTGTAGATGTGGCTTATTGGTTACGGCTTTCAGCCTGAGTAACCGGGTAGTATAATTTGTCCTAACATGACAAATACAGGTCATAATCCAGGTGAAATCATTTATTTATTATTTAGAGAGCTTATAAGCGATAATTATTAAACGTCTGAACACACTTTATACCTAATCCACCTTGTGAGGTGGAAAACTTTTTCAATATAAAATGTACTACATTTCCGACCATTCATAATGGGGATAGACCGCAAGGCATCAGTGAACCAACAGTGAAGGATAGAATAACCATTATGACCCGACTTACAAGGGTGAAGACCCCAAAAAAATTAGTGTAACAATGAAAAATGCGGGAATGTAGGAATCAAGTAGGACAGGAGCATAAAAGAGTTAACTATCACCCATCACAGTAAGAAGGATAGCATAAATTAAGTGCCATGAGGCTGAAATGTAGGAGGAAAACTCTGTTCCCTATAAGAGACGCTGCTTATCCAGGTACATTCTGAAGGCTCGAAGATACAGCTCCGGAAATCAAGAGTACATTCCTTTCATAGTTCGAAATAAAGACATGAACTACAGATGTTCAGCTACAACACAAGACATTTTAACTGGTAGTACTGATAAAAAAAGAAAACCGCGTGTCAGGGTGGATATTAGGCTTACTTGATTAATACTCCAAAGAATCTTATGACTACTTTATGCTTGTATTTACAAGCCATTTATAAAAATTTTTAAGTCTTTATTTCATTCAGAAGTCATTTGTTGATCTACTGAACCACTAAATAATTAATTCTGAGCAGTTCAGAACTGAAGAGTGACTGACTTAGAAAATCTGAAACAACAGGAATCATCGAAGCTTGCCAACACAGGTATTTATTTCTTTATATAAATAAAAAAACAGGCAACTCCAGGACATTGATCAACGTAAAATCTTACACAAAACTACATCGACTCATGTTACCTCAAGTCTCAAATGCACAGAAATAGAGAGAGCTCAACAGAAATAGAGACGGATTAGAAGATAAAAGCGACCAAAGAAGTGAAAAGTAATAAAATATACGAAAAGCCAAAGACTAATGATGGAGGATTTTTGATTTTATGTCCTGTAACCTGAATAACGTTGTTCAAGAGCAGGCTGCTAAACAAACCATGTTTTCTGCCTGTTTGCTTGGAAGTTAGCAGACGGTCGGATATGATATTCACCAAAAATACTTTTGAGGTAATGTCTCATACGGAGAGACTATAACTCTTGGTCATTTATCTGGTTTAGAAAAGGGTAAAGGATAATATTTCGCAGATTATCTACCACTCAAGATGTTAACTAACACAGCGGTTGTCTGTTATCTCATAAAAATGTCATGTGGAAGTAAGGTGTAATATACAGAAAAGATTTAGATACGCCTTAGTAATCTGATCTGGGGTTACACACTGGGCTACCTACCAACTTCAATATGTTAATCACCATGATACTACCGGGCTATCAAGGAAAACGTAGATGGGTAGGCGTCGAAGTAGTTACGAAAAGATCGTCAAACAGGAGACACTCAGTCAGTTACACCTCTGTAGTTGCTAAATCTAACACCGATATACTACGCTAGAATATTATACTTCTGTGCAAAAACAGCCTAGTTGCTGGCTTATAATATTCTTATTATTTTCAACTAAATCAGTAGTTTCAGTGTTAAGAATTTCAGGTTCAACACAATCAAAATACCCACGAAATGAGCATCATTAAAATCATGCATAAAAATGAAAATACAAACAATCCGATATTTAATTAGTACGTGGAAACAAACACGCTATTAGGTGTAGGTTAAATTCGTGCTAGACCAGGTTTCTAGTAGCACTTACGTACTCCCAGTCAGAATAACAAAGCATGTGATCACTTTCAGTGTTAAACTGCACCACCAAAGTTAGCATTTTCGAAGCATTGGGGCACATACAGTTAGGAACAAGATGAGCGATCCATATACGGTTATTTCAAGAAGTTCGATAGAATGCCTGTTAATTAAAGAACTACCCTTTCTGTCTTAAAACTCATAATTAGTTCGAAGATACCTTGTTGGCAAACATGAGTGATTCAGAGTACGAACAGGTTCGCAAAACTGTCTAGTCATTGGTATTAGATAAGTATCCTAATGAATTTCGACAAGGATAACTTCATTGGCTTACTTGAGATGTAATGCCTAGTTGCCACCTGTATCTAGTCGATGAAGGCAAGTGGAACCAGCTAAGATATATTCATCCTGTGATAAGTAATACATTAAAAACTTGTATTATCTCAAAAATAACTCTTATGAAGAGAGATTTAGAGTGGATCGAACAAACCTAAAGGACCAATTATGCATGTAAATAGTGGTAAGTTTTTTCAGGATCATCTACATGCTCTTCCTGATCAATAGAAATCTATCCTTGTAGACCACTACACGAAATGCAAGTTATACATAAGCACACACGAAAACAGCACTAAAGCCAGCGCAAAAGCAATAATGAAAAGAATACAAATTAGACAGACTATTGGATTAGGTTATTGGACTGCACTTGAATTTATGTTGGTATAGTCATCATTTGGATTTAAAATGCAATACACCTACAGATAATTTTGAGAAAAAGTAGACCTAGATTGGATTAAGCGCCTGATATTCAAGCGATGAGCCTTAGGTGCGAATCCTGCTTCCGCTACTTCGGCCTGAGTAACCAGTTAGCGTACTCAGCACTTGCATTTCAAATGTGGCCCAAAGTAAAACATGCATAAATACCTGCACCAAACTGGTTTGCATTTATTATTTTAGACCCAAAAGCCTTGTGTATATCATAGGTTTAACTCTACCAACCAGTTCCAACATAAGTTAAGTTTCGAAGCAGGTACCTTTTGTTAGCTAGTGAATCAGCATAAAAGGAGTACAGTCTAAAATTGCGCTTTGAAAACAGGAAGTGAATTTTTCCACGCTTTTGACATTTTTGCTTTTGTTGTGTAATCCACATCAAGAGCTTTCATATAACCCTTGACTTGAAGTAATTAAGTCAGTGTTTGAAGTTTAATCATTTTTCGAGGCTTAAGGTTGGTCTTTGTGTTGTCACAACTTAAGTCCCCTTGTCGGAATCTTGACC